TCACAGGATGTGCCTCAGTGTTGTAAGAAGGAGCATAAGCTGAGGTCATAGTTCCCAGGTCGTTTCCCAGCAAAACTTTGGCTGGTAAATGTGACAGAACCATCTGACTGCTTGGATTTTTATTGCATTCGTCTGTTTGTTTCCCGTTCGTATGAATGGCTGGTTTCTATAGCCCAGCCATTCGAATGACTCTTTTTTCCCGAACAAACCTGCCGAACGAACGGCCACCCAAGAGAGGAGTGTGCTGCTGGTTAACGTAGTGATCCCAATTAGAACGTTGTGGTTAACCGCAGACACTTCTCAATTAAACCAAATTCAGGGTGGTCGTCGTTCGTATGTCGACCACGAGGCAGCGGCCATTTTAAACCTTACGAAAGCCCAGCAGTGTTCGGCTCTATTTCTATGGAACTAAAAACGGACACTTTTTCTGCCGAACACCGCTGAAACAACGGAACGCCTGACTGCCTCCACGAAAGCATGCGAACACCGGCCGTTCGGGAGATTTGGAGCATACGAAAAGACTTCACCCAGATATCCTTCCCATGGAGTCATTCGTATACCGAAAGACTGTAAGAACTTTGACTCCATGGCGATTGAACTATGTGTGTGGGATCTGAGCGCTATTCGCTAATAATATGCACTCAGATCCAGGCTATCTGGGGACATGTAATACGAATGGGAAATGTTCGGTTTTTGTGTAGTTATATATTTTTATGTCTTTTATTATTTTATGTCTAAGATGGCGACTGGCTTTGTCCTGGAGTTAATTGAGTTACTTGGTAATTAACTCCAGGGCAGAGGGGAGGGAATCATAATGCACTGTGGGTAAAATCTGTGACTGTGTGTCTGAAATGTCCCTCTATTTGTCTGTCATTTAAGTCTCCCATTTGGTCCCCTAGGGGAGTGTCCACCAGGTGGGAGACCTGCATAAATACGGGCAGGTAGCCCACAGTAAAGCCAGATCCTGTTTGACCCTCAATGCGGAGCTTCTGTCTCGTTATTGGGGGGATTTCTTCTTCACGTTTAGAGACTGCTGGATGGAACGGAAGCCGCTTGGTGAATATTGCTGTTCGACGGTTGCCAGCAGTTCGTGTATTGCCGTTCGGGAGTTTGGAGCCGTTCACGGATCTCGTTCGGGAGATTGCCGCTTCCCCTGCATTTGGTTCGTGTATTACAGATTAAGCGAACGGAGACTGTACTGCAGCCGGGGAAGGTCTACTAAACGGCGGTTTTGCCTAAAGACACTGGAGGTGTCTTAACAGTAAATTATCCATAATCCCCACCCTCACAAGTCCTTTCCCCGCACCCCATTTCAAATGTACCTTTGCTGTGGGTAGTTTGTATATGTCCCCTCCAGCCACCTGGACAGCCACTGTGTCAGGAGAGCGCTTGTGCTCGGGAACTAACCGGCTTTGTACCAAGGT